ACATAAAGATATTAGAGGTAACACTATAAAATAAAACTAGCCTAAAGTACTAGAATAATAAGATTAACATATTAAAAGCTTTAATAAGCTTATAAACTTAATTATATATAAGTTATATAATTACTAATTTACATATAATAACTTAGAAAAGTGCTACTTTTTTAAGTGCATATATAAAGAATTTTAAAAGATAGACACTATAAGACTTTTTAGCACTTAGCTGCGCATTTAAAAGAGAGCTTATATAAGTGCTAAAGAATAAAAAAATTACACTATAGCTAAGCACTAAAGGTACCTAAGCCTAAAAGCTGTATAATATAGCATAAAAAAAAGTAATTACACTAAAAAGGCTTTATATATAACTTTTATTACTATATAAAGCTTTACATAGAAGTAGACTAAACATAATGCTACTATTAACACTAAACATACTAGTATTACCTACTTTTATACTTTAGCTAGCACTACACTAATTACTATATAAACAATACATGCCACCCTACCTAACACCTGCTCCACACCCTTAATTGTACACACTACTGCCTGCAGTAGTGTATGCACTACTAATACTACCTGCACAATCTATACTACATTATAACTTATATAAACTTCTACTTTAGAAAGAAACTACTAAAGAAAAACTTTTAGTAGATAAGATTATATAATTTTAAAAAGCATAAAAAAAAATAATAACTATATAAGTTAACTATATAATATTTTTATAAATAAAATAAAATTTTTTATTAATTTATGTTAATAGCTAAATATTTAGAAAACTTAGTACATAAACATCTTTTTAAATATCTTAAAAAGTTAGGTAAATATATACTATATGTATAACATAAGCCTTAGATATAACTAGAAGCATTTATATAACACTTTAAGTAGTTACTTTAATACTAATGTAAACTATAGCTAGTACTAGACAGACTAGATAATAATAACTTTTACATAATACTAATAAAAAAACTTTAATAAAAGTTTATATAAAGTTTTTAAAATAATAATTAATAAGCTTACACTTGTATAAAAGGTACTAAAAATAAAATTCTAAGAAAATGTTTTACTGTACACTGCTATTATATAAGCTTGTTAAAGATAACTAAAACTAGAATATGCTATATTTACTATTAAGCCCTTATATAAAGCTTTATTTAGTAACTTATAAGCATTACTTTAAGTTACTATAGACTAAAAAGTAAACTAATACCTTTAGAAACTGCCTAATGTATACTATATAGACTACTAATATAACTTTGCACAACAAAAAAAAAGCTTCTCTCTGTGTAGAAAAGGATAACATAGAAGATTTCTATCTAGGTTTAGGCTACAATCTAGAGACAACTGCACACAGATAAAGAAGTGCTTTGTCTGCTATAAGGAAGAATATTAGTTATTAAACTACCTTTATAATAACTATATATAAGCAAAAAACTAGTATGTTACTTTATATAAAGATTTTTATAATAAGACCTTATTATATAAAGCTATTACCTTATACATCTAAAACTTTAAAAGTTACTCTAAAGAAGAGAATAATTTGCATAATGTAAAAAAAATAGAATAAAAGAGTAAAAATGCTAAGAAAGCTATTAACTACTTTACCTCTACTGCCTATCTATACTATGTAATAGGAGAGGACATCTACAGCATTAAACCTAAAGAATATGCTAAGCAGTTTATTTTTAATAACTAATACTATATAGTATACTAAGGTAAACTATAGAACATAGGTGTAGTAAAGATCTCTACTTGTTACAATTGTGCACAAGTAAGGTTATAGAGCTTTACAGAGGTCTAGTTTAATTACTATGTAAGGTATTATAGTAGGTACAAGACATTATGTAAGGAATAGAAAGGTTTAGAAAAAAATTAATAATTAAATACTTAGCTTAAAAGTCTAAGCGCTTTAAGTATAAATTAAGCCTATTTTAAGTTTAGTTAGTGTTAAAGCAGTTTATGCTTAAGTTTATGTCTATGTTATGTTATATTTATATTAGACGTGCACTAATAATACTCTAGTACATGTCTAATATAGTTATGTCTAGGATCTAAGGAGGATACTATAACAGTACCCCCCCTCTTATTAAGAAGGGAATTCTTTACATTAGTAGTTCTAGCATTAAGTTGTTTTTATTAGAGTATAGGTTTAGTTTAGATAAGTATTAGGCATAGAATTAAGTTACTGCAGAGTTCTTTTACAAGGCTTCTGCAGGTTTCTATAACAGTTTGTTGTATCTAGTCTATTTTATAAAGTATTTATAAATACATTTTTTCTTATTAAACTAGATTTATTTAACATTTTCTACAACATATTCTAGTTTATTATTTATAATAATAAGTTTAGGTAGCAGGTTTAGCTGTCTAGGTAGATAGTTAGATTTAAAGGCTACTTAGCGCAGCAATAATACATAGAACACAAGGTGTATCTTTATGCTGTTAGGTAGAATTAATTAGTAAGTGTGTAATAAAACTATATAAGCTACTATAAAAAAGCTAAAGTTTTTCTAATTAAGTTTCTTTAATTATTAGTTTATTTAAATATTTCTAGTATTTAGCTAGACCTTCTTGCTAGCTGCATATATAAGGGTAAAAGTTTAGGATTAGTTTATGTACTCTTATTAAAAAGCTTAAGCCTATGTAAGCTTTTTATAAACATATTTAAACATATTTTAAATTTTATTAATAAGTTTATTTACATTTATTACTTATATAAATTAATAAGTTAGTTAGAGAGTATTTAAAAGTAGTTTAAATTTTATTTAAAAGTAGTATTTATAGTTTACTAAGAACAGAGATACTTACATTAATTTAGATATTATGTTATTAGCTTTAAACTATGCTATAGCTAACTATTTTACCTAGTTATCTTACTAGTAGTTTATGTACACTTATAAGACTTATTTTATTATAGTGTTTATGTTCTTAGTCTAGCTATTAGTCTTTAGGTAAAAAGCTATAAATAGATAAAAGATAATTTAAAGCTATTTACAAAGTTTATCCTAAAAGGCTAAGACAAACTGCGTACCTCTGTCTAATATAATTATGTTAGGTAGGCTATAGTAAACTTATACATATTAGTAGAATAACTAGGCTATATAAGAAGCAGTTATAGAGAAACATAGTATTAAGTGTTAATACTTAGTTAAGTAATTAATAACTACTATAATATTTATATACCCTTTAAATAAAAGTAGGTTTATAATAAAATTAATTAATATATTTTTTTAAGCTTATTTAGAAATTAAAAGCAGTTTAAGCAGGCTATTATACCTTTCTTAAAAGGCCTTTACTTTATAGTAAGTATAGCAACATAATACGTATTAGCGTACAGTATAGAACATGCAGGGCTAGTAGTACTCTCTCTGTAGTAGGTTAAGAGTCTTTCCTCTGCCTAGGTGTCCTCTAATAGGCAAGTTATATATAATTTAAAGTAGTTTAATTCTTAGTTTATTAAAATTAAAAATTATAAGTTAGTTATAGTAATACAGCTTACTATTTTAGTTTTTATAGTTAGCTAGT